TGGTGAACGGCCGATCTTTTTGCTTTTAAGCTGTAAGTTACTATATTTTTTTAAATAAATGTTGTCGACTACACCATGAGGAGTTTCCTTTTTTATTTTCGTTAAATATGGATCTATGGGACTCTGATGAGACGTATCTGCTGCTCATCTTTTTACTGCCTACAAACGATAATGGTTTGGTAAGTGCGCACCCCAGAGGGGAATTTGGCGTGAACACATGCTGTGGGAGAAAGATTGCAAAGCACCTGTTTGAAGTTTTTTTCATCAATATATTATATACAATTGGATTAAGTAACAGTTTGGACTCACTTCATGATTTTTCACTTGCATACATGACCCTTTGGTTTGATTTGATGCCCGTTTATATTTGATTGCAACAAGGAATTTTCTTATAATTTTTGTATAATACGTTTTTTTGCACGAAGTGAAATTTTGTATTTAATATCTCACTGGCTACCACCAGGATATGGTAGCAGATTAAAGCACTAAAAATTATAAGCACTTTTATTGTGTGTTAACACGTATGATAGTTTTTTGGTTCACTAATTAGTGACCCTGAGCGGTGCACACTCATTTACATATCCTCCACTTCCTGCCTACCCTTGTGGTGGTGCTTCCTATGCACCACCTTATCCCTTCAGTTACATTAACTTTGTGGGACTGAACCCGGGCTTTTTGGTGGACGTTTCTTAAATCCAGCACCTTTTGTTTTTACAGACTCTGATTTTTCTTTTCTATTAAAAGTCTCTCCTAACGAGATTAGCGGTCTGGCTAGACAAGCTCTTTAAACATGGAGTTTCATCCCTTTAATCCTAGGGGTCAGGGGTACAAGACTATGTCTTCTCATTAGACAGGCTGGTCTATCTTACCTGGACCTGTTTTGTCCTGGGTTCCTTCTATGGGTCTTCTCTTTCATGCAAGGGAAATGATAATCTCACCTATTTTTGGGGGTTTTATTTGGTTGATCACCTCTGCACTGGTGTTCCATTCCATGTGGAGTCATTTTCATATGGTGGTAAATTTACATCTAAAGGTCCTTTCATTGGGCCTGTTGGTGGTTATTGCCCACTCCTGGACTGCTTTTGGATGCTCTGATGTATCTGAATGTTTATTTTTATTTACTCACTGTAGTGTCCTTTTCTTAAAGTCATCACAAGCCACACCCCACTGTGTTTTCGTACATGCTCTTGGTACTGCTTGCTACAAGAGATATCCCAGGGCTGATCTACATATTTTTGTTTGCAATAGTGCAACCCGACAGTATCTTCACTTAAAAGGGTGTTAGGGTGAGTAAAAAAAAATAATATATCTATATATCTTTAGGAGGTTTGGACACTAGCAAACAGATAAGTTGTAAGTCATCCTCTGTATAGCCCCTCCTCTACCCACCATGCGCAACAGCACAAAGGGGTGGGATGGGTCTCCCTCAGTGGGCTAAAAGAAATAGATTTTAAAGTAAGAGCAAAAATCTTGTTTTCTCCAAAGTCTAGTGAGGGACACAGGAATTCAGAAACTAAGCACATCCAACTGAGGGGTGAGCAGCAGCCACGGATGTATCCGAGATGGAAACATCTGAACAGAGGACAACCAGAAGGCGCAATGCTGGAATCAAACCAGATGAGAAGAAATCCCCTGCAGGAGGAAATCTTTACTAACCAATGGAAGGCCCCCGGAGGCTCAATGAGATGTGCAAACCAGGAGAGAATAAATGCCAAGTGGAAAGGCTCATGCAAGGGGACACTAAGCCCCCAACAGAAGCAGCTGTGAGCCAAAACAACCATCAAACCATCTAAGTGGAACATACTAACAGGGTTGCCAACCCCTGACTAATTTTACTGATGAAACCTCTTCACCAAGTTTAATTAAAAACAAAAATCAACCACTGCCATGCATTGTAACACATTGTGCACACAGCATGCTATTACAATAAAGTTGCGTGAGGAAGATAAATCACCTGTTTTGCTCTTGTGTCTGTCTGGGACAGTGTGTGCTGAGGAACATTAGGAGAGAGCTCTTATAACCCTCCTCCTCTCCTAGATGAGGTGCAGAGTGCAGAAAGAGACGCCTGCTATTAGGCACACTGCACATGACAGTTCAGGGAAATCCATCCCAGTTGTATTTGCCTGTATACAAACTTGCCTTGCCAGACTGGAGGGGATGATTTATATTATTCATCAGCTACTGAGCCTCCTAGTGCACTACTACTACTACTTACCCATCGTATGAATGGTCAACAAAGTTTAGAAAGTCCTGCTCCACCATCTCCTTATCTTTTCAACACCAGCTCTCAGCCATGAACTCACCCCTCTGGGCCCCAGCTCCGCCCCTTAAGTGTTTGCCTTCATGTTATCTGCCTGTTGGGCTGTCCTTGCTCAGCTATCCAACAGCAGCAGCAGGCAGTGATATGGCACCATGACGTCACTGTACACAAGATGCAGATTTTATCTGATCATGAATCAGCTGACTATAGGACTGTGCATGTGCAGTGCATTTAATAGCAAAACAGGTGTTTTTATTGGGGGCAAGTCACTGATTTTTACAAACGGTGCGTGACTTACTAGACACTTAACAACCCTGCTACTGAGAACAACACAACAGGATGTGGTCAACAATAATGAGAATTTTTTTGCCCAGGACAAAAAAAAAAGGCCCCACGAATAAGCACTAGACAAAAGAAGGTCCACAGAAGACAATCAGCGAGTCGGTAAGTGAAAAAGACCCAAGACTTACAGCAGCAGCAACTTCTCTCCAAGTGCATGTACTACAAATCTCAAAAAAGCCAGCATCCAAATTTGGTCCGATCTTTAAGCTTTTATTACAGCATGTAAGATAAGAAGGACATAAACGCTAGGTGCGTTTCAGACAATCCTGGCCTTAAAATGAATCACTGGACTGACTTCCTTTTATGTGTCTATCACCATACCTACTAACAAAATATGGACCGGAATCAGGTCTCCACACAAAAGGAAGCCAGCAACATATGAACAGCAGCAACATTGTAACCATCAACAACATTAAAAACATTATACAAAAAACACAAATCAGCAAAAATGTGAACACGTGTGCACACACTCTAGTGTATGGACATGGGTTCATCCTCAGGCATATGGATTAAAGGGAAAAAAAAAGGAACAGAATTGCAAGCAAAATGATTATTATATGTGAAACAATATCTCATCTATAATTAACCATGTGGCACTCGGGTTTGCCATTTGAAAGTCCAAAAAGTATCCCAACGTAAGAGGAAACGTCGTCATCCCCCCCCAATCTGCACGCAGGGAACCCTCCACCTTTTCTAAACAATGTAACATGAATGACTACACATCTCCTCCATAAATATTCCAGAAATGTCTGGATACATCATTATGTCATTATAAATTCGAGCTTTGGCCCGCACAAGATTATCCTGAGCAGTCTACCTGGGTAGCCACTATAATGTACATTACATTGTGTGCAGGCAATTAAATACACAAAATTAGGAGTGTTCCAATTTGAAAATGTATTGTATCTGCTTTGTTTTCTTGTGGACATTACAGTACAGACATGCATTGACCCCACATCTGAATGAACCTTGGACACTAAGCAGAACATTTCTACTCTACAAAATAGCTTGGGGAAAACAATGATCTCAATGTGGGAGCTCTCCTGTTTGAGGATCAGCAACACCATCCATATCCTGAGCACCCAAATGCCAAGAAAGCACAATACACGTGGATCCATTCATATGTACATTGTAGACTGACTTCTGGCTTTGGGCCCTATGGTCTGAGCCAGAGCTAGACTGCCTTACTACTTACTGCCCACCTTAGAAGGGTGAGGTTCCTCTTAAATTTCCTGTGTTAAGGAAGGAGCACACTGACTTCCCGTGGCATTGCTAAATGCAATGTCAAGGGCAGGTCTGAAGTGGACAATGGCACTGGAAGGATACATTAATCAGTAGTTCCTTGGACATCTCATCTGACTGGTGTTCCAAGCATTTAGGCAGAAAGTCCAGAGTGCACCTGGAGGGCCCTGTGAACATAGGGGAGGCCTAGGCCATGCCTGATGGAGTTGAACATACTCTGCTGATGACAACCCTATAACAATAGGGCTGCCCAGGTTTCCATTAGCATGGGTGTATGGGTCTGAGGTCACTCATGAAAACAGGAATATCCTGTGCGTCTTTGGGAAGACGCTGCATTGTGTGGCAGCAAGCAACAAGGCCCTAGTGTAAGTCAAGGCCTCAAGTACAAACAAACCCAGGAGTCTGGTGCTGATGTGGGTTTTAAACGGCTAAAGGTTGGTCGAGTCATTGCAGATGGGCAGTGAACCAAACTGGAGATCCACATGGCATTTTAGGAGCAGGAACAGCAACAAGATGGTGCTTTTTAATGGCTGAATGGCAGGAAAGGGCATGTGCGCATCAACCTAGTGGATAAGGTCTGCACTTTTTTCCTTAGCCTTACCCCTTACTATGTCACGAACCCTCTGTGGTGGGAATTTTGAAAAGGTGCCCCATGATGCAAACAGTGACGTAGCACCTGCTCCTTCAGCCTAACTGGCCCACTTACTAAACGAGTCCTCAGAGACAGAGTTGCACTTGGAACTGTGTCATTGCTCTGGACATGGAAAGCGCCACAATGCAGAGCTCAGTACCTGAAGGTCCCATTTCAGGCTAGCCCTGTACGTCGAGTAAAACAGGGTCTGAGTAATTTTGTTGAGGCAACACCACTCTGGATAGCTGCTATAAAGAGGCCAGCTCAAGCAGCAGTATAGTAAGGAATCTTGATTAAACAAATCTCCATGGACCAAAGAAGGCCAGCAAAAAGAATAGACTTTTCTAGGCATCCAGCCTCCTAGGACATTAGCAAAAAAGTGAGATATTCTAACCCGACTCATTTTGAATTTGTGTCCTTCAATATATGATGGAGAAATATATATATAAAAAAAATGATAAATATATAATTTTCTTAACTCCTTGTACTGTGCTCACTTTTCTTCGATTTTATCAACCAGAGAAGTCAAATTATAAAGAATGATCTTTATTAGGCTGCATAGCTATTAGGATAGAAAAACAGTATTGTAGATTTGTCGAACCTGTACGCCCTAATATTATATAAAATGTGCAGACTTCACAGTATAATGTTGCCATTTACAACAATACATTTCACAGAGGATGGATAGACAATTTAGGCCACAACTAAACGAGAAATATTTCAGATCTCTGATCAAATGTTTAAGTGAACTTTGGCTTACTAAAAAAAAAAAAAAACAAACCCCAGAAAAAAAACTTTAAGAATAAAACATTGACTTTTGTTTTTAGAATGGGGAAGAGATACAAACATGGTCTATGACTCTACATATTATATTACTTTACAGTCTTTACCACATGTAGCAGTGGGAAGGATGTATGCTACAGTGTTTCCATAACGTACAGAGAGGGAAAGCTGACTGGATCCCTTAACTTGCTGGAGGTATGTGATTTTCTAAATCAAGAGGTACGTTTTGTCATGAATGAGGGCAGAGCTTGTTGCAATGCTGAAATGACTTGACCTGAGCTGCAGGACACAGGAAATCACACTGGAGCTGCAGGATGTCACTTTGTATGGGGTTCTTGTGCCTCTTCTGGTATCTTATCCATACGAGTGGTGTAAAGCACAGACATAGATTACAGATGCTCTGAGGTAGTCACCAATTCAAACCACTGCCTGAGGGCATCGCTAAGGGTTTCAGGAAGGGCGTTCACATCTCGAAGAATGATGTAGAATGGAAAGGGAAACTGTTCCATGTAAGATATCATTTTTGGCATTTCCTTCGGGTTTGTAAATATCGGGACTTTTATATCCAGGATGGAATCCTAAAAAGAAACAGAGACCAGTTCAAGATTAAATAATAAAGCACATTAGGTTTTTTTTTCCTCCTCTTAATTCCCTTTTATTAAAAAAAAAAAAAAATCAAATTTCAACTGTTATCATATCAGGTTTATGGGGATGTAAAAATAATAAAAATAACAGGACAGTTGGATCACCGACTAGCGCTTCTTAACCATGGTTAAGAACCATCGGAATAAACAAAGGCCACAGATGTATGATGACGAAAATGAATATATTTAAAGCTGTCTCGTATGCATGTAATACCTTCCCTTGTCCCCACTTCCCGATTAACATGCAATTGAAATGTTTTAATCAAATTTTGTTTTCTGGGTCTCACAGCAAGAACGACTTGTTGCGAGACCCAGTAATGTCATCACTGGGTCTGTCTGCTGCTCTTTGCTCTGAGGTTTGTTGGGAAGGCTTGGCAGGCTCTTGTAAACATAACAGCTTTCTGCCTCGGATCTTTTTCAGAAGAATTATATGAAGAACACATCCCTGGGATTCTCTCTGCTTGCCACTGGGTGCTGCAGACTTCAGCTTTATAGTCTGCTGACTGGCAGCAGGCAAATCTAAAGGGGATTGGGGGGGTATATTTTGGAAAAACAGGTTATGGCCGTAATTCAGCTTTATTCCTAATTCAGCGGCACATATCCTGCAAAGAAGGGGGTTGAGCTACTCTCAATTCTCACAGTAATGAGTTCTTGGGTACTTTGGATGTCTCATTCAAGGCCTACTCTGGTCCAATGTGCCTGTAAATTGCAGAAAACAGTGGGGGGAGAAGAAAAAAATAAATAGTGCTTCTTCAGCTGTCCTCCATTGAAAATAAAGTTGTGTATGGTTCAGGGTGGGACACATTACAGATAAAGGTTTCAGTGAAAGTGTGTACAGTAATTATGAATTGGCATAATGGACCTAAAAGCTGAAATAATACTGTTGAAGACAGTATTTCCAATAAAAAAAGCAAAATACCAAGTTAACCTTAATATAGGCCTTGTAGGACAATTGGCTTTCCAAAAACAGCAACAAAGATTCCAAGGGTTGTTTACCTTAGACATTGGGTTATCCAAGATTATAAATATAATAAAGATGTTCTCATTGCGGGCTGCTTGTACGGCATTTGTGACACGGTCCTTCCCTTCCACAAATATTCCTCTTCCATCTGACACAATTATGAGGAGCTGGGCAGTTTCTGTGTGGAAAATATATAAAACTGTGAACCAAAGAAACAGAAGCTCTGGGATTGTGGAGAGCAGCACAATACTCCAAAATAGTTGCATTCTAGGTGGTAGTCCTGACTTGTTTTTCTTTTGAAAAGGGAAGAGTGATTAATCACACAGTCACTTAATTCCATGGTTATCAGTATCCACTGAAAAGGTCTGTTTTTTGATAGACAATTGAAGCAGAACTCCAGTCATTTAGTAAATGATTTCACTGCAATGCACTCCCTTAATCTGGAGCTGTCCCACAGAGAAGGCTTACAGCTTTAGCAGATGAGACTCCTCTTCTGGAGATATAGGAGAGCCAGGGTCTTCAACCAACTTCCGGTGAACCCAGGCCATCAAGGACACCTGTTGCTGGCATTGTATCACACTGGCCTGAGCTCACAGTGCTCCTACATTGACTGGCGTGCACATGTCATTGCATTCAGTGCAGTAGTAAGGACTGCCCTCGGCCACAGAGGAAGAGAAGGACCAGTGAGATCACTGGACCAACCAGAAGACCCTTGACTGGGGGTTCAGGAGGGCAATTCTGCATTGAATCACATTGGTTTCTTAAGTCTCTCAGAAGACAGGTGATGGGTTTGAAACTCAAGTACACATACCAAGTGTGTGAGAGGTTACTCCTTAAACTAACCATGGCTGTTTCTTAAAACGGAAAGAACAAAATTGAATCATATGAATGTGTATAGCCTGAGCATAATCAGCACTCCCCTTAAACATGACATACACTACTATGGTTAATTGTTCTGACTCTGAAAGGAAGTCATAAATGCTCATTGTTCTAGCGTCTTAAAAACTGGTAATAAACACTTGACACGTGAACATATTTCCAGATTCCCGAGAGGTGAATTGCTTTGATATATAGATGCAGTGTAACACAAGATAGAGCTCTCACCTGGATTAGTGCTCTGAGAGAACTGTTGTGCAGCTGCAAACATGGGGACTGAAGATTCCAAAAACTGCAGACAAAAGAAAGTATTTGCATCAGACTACACAAATCACATGTCTGCTGATTAGATGTATATATAATTTTTGTGCATCAACTCTCAGCCTTCTAACCAAAACACGCTGCTCCATTACCTGAGCAAGCAAAGTCTTCTTCTGTTGGAACTTGCAGTGACTGAGGATCCTGGATCCAGACTGCTCACTAAATTGTTCATGGAAAGGATGTAAAACGTTGACCTTCTCTCCAAAGCTAAAAGGTAAGACATGGTTAGTGTGAGATTGATCACAATTTAGGACACAAATCTTTCCTACAGAACACTTGAAGCATCTGTTTGTTTTTTTTAGTGCCAGGTCCTGTCCACAAGCATGATACTCTATTATAAGACAGCAAATAACATTTGACAAGTGACTAGGAGAGGGGAGATACAAACCTGTACACAGCAATTTGTCCCACTTCAAGCAGAGTCAATGCATTTCCAATTACAGCCAATGCTTCATAAGCAAGCTAAAAAAAAAGAAAAGTATTAGAATTTTAACATATACCAGACTGTGAACAAGACTATGCTGCAAGTACACAACCCAGGAGTTATTACCTGTTTAGAATGGTTATCAACCATACTGGCAGAATCATCAATAGCTAGACAGATCTGGTACTGGCGCTTGCTGGGTTTTGTTCTCCTCAGCCAAATTTTGTCTTTTCTAAATTGACTGGCAATGTATGGAATTACCTTCCGCATATTCAGCCTCTTTCCTGTCCGATAATCACCTCTGTAGAGTGAAACAGAGAGACACTTCAATGAATCAAGGCTCCTTTCAATTAGTTATTTGCCAAACACTTCACAGCATTATCAAAACTGTGTAAGGGAACATGAAAGGGTTTCACACACCAGCTGCAGACTACTCTTGTTCCCAGCTATGTTACAATATGAGACCTCAGTTGAAGGCTAAACTTCAGAATAAACTAAAAATAATTGTTTTTAGCCCATAGAAAAAGGTGCGCTGTTAACAAAATGGTCTACATTTCTGTTTTTTTAATGAACTAGCAACGTAGGCATCTGCCAAGGCAAAATCTGTCATCAACTAAGTGTAGGGCAATGCTATAGCAGTATACTTACTTCAGCTTGGCTGCCTGTGTTGGTTCCAATATGAGCCTCAGTTGTTCACACAACTGCTGAGACAGAGAACCAGTCAGGAGGAGATATCTCTGCCACATTTCAGCTGCTGCCTTCTCCTAGAACAAATGTGAAATAGCAGTGTGTTGTTATACACATATTAGCCATGCAATGCAAAAATACAGCTTAAAGGTTCTCTCTACTGGATACCAGCAATGAGAGATTTCTGCCAAAATTCCTGCCTCTTTGCCTACACTGCCATGAAGTCTTAGGCTACTGGACTGGAATAGGACATCACCACAACCTACAGTGCAGCCAATAGTGTCTCTCTTCCATTGCATACTGAGAAAACTACAGATGTATCCACATTTAAAGAGTTAAAGAACCCGGCACTGCAAGGATTAACTGCTTGTTTTTGTTTAGGTGGGGGGGGGTTAAACAGTCTCACCCAAACCTGCTTCTCCAGTCTCTGAAACCCGTCTGCTCCTATGCAGCAGTATTGAAAAATGTTCCTCAGAAGGATCATGTCTGTGTATAGGAAGTGATGATTTACAGGACCTCAGACCGCTGGAAAGGGCAGTGCCTAGAAAGACTGTGCTAAGAGCAAGCCGGCTCAGCGGTTCAGATGAATATAACTTTTTAGCACCTAGACAAAAATGAGCAGTTAGCCCTTACAGTGCGGGGGTAGCCCCACTGCAAGGGTTAATACATTTTGCTGAGTTCTTCTTTAAGTTCTGCACTCCGTATTGTCACACATATGCTCTGAGCTAGGAGTCAAATGTGGATGGGAAGAGTCCTAAAAGGTGATTTAATCACTTCTACTGACACAGGACAAATCCAAATATGAAATGCAGGTGTTCTTATTTTCGCTGAACAAAGTCAATCAAACCTGTTTACCAACAAACCAGTAAATTGCTATAGTTTTGAAAACGAATACCATAATCTATTTGAAATCATGAACATTTGTAGAAATACCACTCCTTAGTGTACTACTCTATTGCTTGCAGGAAAATAGGAGATGGCTGAATGCAAGTTACTTCATCTCCCCAATTCTGCCAGAAGGTGGTTGTGGAGAGAGGGTGGGGGAGAATAAACCCCCCAAAAGACTTCAGGCTCAATCTACCCACCTCCTCTGCATTCCCAATAGGATGTGTCTGCCACTCCTCCAGCTGCTTTTCAAGCTCTCTTCTGAGTTCTTCAGGATTTTCAGGCATCTGGTACAGACAAAGAAAGCAAACAGTGGGGGATGACACATTACAGCTACTCAAATGTAAAAAAATAAAAATAAATCACAGCTATATATAAAAAAATAAAAATAAATAAATTGCTGTGTCTGTTTATATGCAGCATTTCGCAAAACACACTTCACTGAAGAAAAACAGGAGTAATGTGGAGTCACAAACAATCAAGGTTAGCCAATGATTTCAAAACCTGTCACACATGGAAAAAAAAACATATCTCACAAGATTTTCGGTAATCAGAAGATGAAATTACAGTATTAGTAGGTATTAAGAGCAAGTACTGTTCACAATACAAAACGATTTAGCGAAGCTACGACATAGTAATATCTTCATATGATTTCATGCAATACTACAAACATCCTCCATAGTTACAAGCTCATTTCATGTAAATACAAGCTGAGCTTACCAGTGCAGAGCCTTCTTTCAAAAACTCCCAGACAGTATGAATGGTAGACTCTGTGCTTCTCTCACGTTTTTCCTTATCCACACTTGGAAGTTCCACATCTTTTCTGTGTACATCATCTTCCATTGTTATTCCTTGCAATTCGACATCAGTTTCCTTAGGTCCTGTATTAATAGACATAGCCAGAAAGACATAATTAGAGTTCAGCAGTCCAGGTTTAATGCAATAACTCTGCTTTTTTGTTTTCTTATCAAGCATTGGCAAGTCATTTTCTCTGCTGCAATAAATTGACTCCATTTTTGGAGGCTTGCGAGTGTCCTTTTATTTGTTTTTTAATTGGGTAGTTTTGCATTATGAGTGTATAGTATTTATGATACCAGCTCCACATTTATGATAAATGCCTGCACAAAAAAAAAGAATCCCCCCAATTTTGCCCACTTACCTAGTGTTTTTGAGTCACTGGAACTCTGTTCTTCAGGCTTTAGTCGCTCCACAGTAACAGCTTCCAAATTTTCATCTTCATGCGACTCCATTTCCACATCCTGCACAGCGCTGTCATCTGGTTCCTTATTATGTGGCTGCGTTTTCTCTTGCTCTTTGCTGGCTGTATCTGCATGGTAAAGATGAATAGTTATGGGTAAACAGTTGATGAGCCATATTTCAAACACCCATGTTACAACACCGACTCTCAATGTACCATATGTCTGTGCATCATAGGACTCTGTTCCATGTTTGATGTGCTCATAAGCATCAGCTTCTTCTTTGTGCTCTTGTCCTTGTGTGTCGTCATTTCCCATTTCAGTGATGGAATCCATAGTCCGCAACCGCTTATGAACCTGTTCATTGTGATCCCCTAAAGTGCGATCGTCATCTGCCTGGCCCGGCTTACGTTTGAAGCTCTAGTAAAGTAAAAAACAACAGATATGCAAGAGCTTACTGTAACTAAGGACACTACTACAGACAAATATTTATCAATGTCAATGAATCACTTCAGAATGAAAGTGTATTCAAAATCAACAATGTGGCTTGAGAAAGTAACTATTTAATGTATTCATAAACAATAAAACATGTAAGGTTGACCAAAGTCATTAGCTGTTGACCGTGTCCAATTTATGTACCCTCATGATGTACATAAACAAGATGACTGAACACCGACTGAGTGTGATAAACAAATTACCTGTGTATTGCGCACACTTTCTTTTTGAGAAGCCAGACGGGCCATTAGTTTGGACTCATGCCCCTCAGACTGACTTGCATCAGCAGATCCAGTTCCATGTTCCTAAACATGAAAATACAAAGACATTTCGGGTAACAAACATTGCATCACATTTTGTTACTCTTTACATCATTGGTAGTCATTTTCTATGGAGCAGACAGTGAACCAAGTAAACTCTTTCTTGAACTGTTGACAGATGTTGCAAATACTAGCATAATGTCTGCCTAAAAGGTACATCTGTTTACCATTAGAAGCCACCATTTGGAAAATTGTAAACAGATTTTTACCTCTTTGGCTTCATCCTTCTCTGAAGCAGCACCAGCCAGTTCAGCAGCATCCTCGCTTTGCAGGTTGTCCTCTGCAGTCTTGCCATATGTTTCATGCTCCATTCTTTCATTGGAGTCCTGCAACTCATCATTCTCAGACTTTTCTTCATTCTAGTAGAAAAAAAAGATGAAATCTCCGTTACTGTGTTAGCACACATAATGAGCAAATATTGCTTCTGCATGTACACATAGAATTACAAATTATACATAGAAATAATGATCATTTACATCATAGTACATTTACTGTGAGCAGATTAACTGTAGTTATTACTGTGGCCTTTAACTTCCTTGCTATAACTCACATGTACATGTTGCCAGTCCATAGTTTTGTTACTGTTTTTGAGATTTTAGTCCCCAGAGGGAGCTCTCAGCAGCTAAATGGCTTGACCTTTGTTTAAACAAGGGGTCTCAAACTCTATTCACCTCGGGGCCACTCGACAAACTTTCTTCTCCCATGAGGACCACTCGCCAAATTTCATACTTCAAAACAACATTTAACTATATATGGAACCAGTGTTAATATCTGCATGTTTATAATGTCAGTATATTTGTTTGTGATGGTTTGTGTGTGTGTTGTCAAGATTTCTGTGAGTGATGTCAGTATGTGTGTTAATGTTTCAGTGTGTGTCATATCAGCATGTATACATGTGTAAAGGTGTGCAGTGTCAGTATATGCGTGTGGTTTTCCCACAGGTTTTAATTTTAATCAGAGAGGAATAACAGATTCACACGGGTTTGGAAAGGATTGTGATCACAGGAATGGGTTTGGAAATGTGTTATCAAATCTGACAATCCCTACAGCAATCAGAATGAAATCAAAGCATGTCATATGTGAACTGTATTACCTGAGGCAAGGGTCCTTGCTCATCTGATATTTCATTTTCACGTTTTTCATTTTCACTGGTCTCTTCTTTTGCAGCATCTGGTATTTTCTCTCCTTGGTCCTGGCCATTTTCCTCCTCTGCTTCTTGTGGACCCTCTCCTTGCAACTCCTCCTCATTCTTGTCCTGATCAGTTGCTTGCTCTGTTTCTTCAGATTCTGGAACCTCTTTTTCAGAATTCTCTTCAGCACCACCATCCTGTTCCTTACTTTCTTCATTTACTTCCATTGGATTTTTATCAATATCAAAAGGATTTCCTTCTAAAATTCCAAAACAAAACAACTAATGCAATAAGTTCCATCAGACTTGGTGGCATAAAATGGTCAATGCAAAAATGTGTGCAGTGCAATTTATATTTTGGTGAACTTGATTTCACAATACTGTTTAAAAGTATCTGCACATACAGTAGCTGCAGCAGCCTCCAATACCCGGCTGTTACCATCAAATTCCTGGCTGTCCTGCCAACTTCAGAACTTCCAGATTTTTTTTCTGCACATTTCAATGAGGCAACCTATCTAAATGATAGACCAACCAGAATCCTTGTGTGTTGGGTAGTGTCAATCCCTTTAAAGAGAACTATGGGGTAAGTGTTTTTCCCCATGGTTCTCATTAAGGTCACGGGAAGACATATACTAACCTCCTCCTGTGACCCAAAGCCCAGTATAAATAGCGGGCTATTGTCCGCAATATACCGAGAGTGCCGCAGCCGGGACGGATCCCGACAATAGTATTGAGATCTACCCAGCTGCATGAGTGACAGTTGGCTCTGCCTACCTAAAGGCAAAGCCAGCTGTGCCCGCCTCCTCTCCCCCATCCATTTCTCCACTCAGCGTGGGGGGGGGGGGGGAATTCCCTGTGGGGAGCGGTGACCGACAGTCGCAGCTCACTGCAGGGAGAGGATCAGGATTTCAGCGGATCGGCTGCATGTTTCTGCTCACTTCCCGCTCAGCAGAGTTGACCTGTGACAGTTTCTTTGTCACAGGTCGGCTCTAACTATGAGGATGAGCAGAAATCACTCACCTCATAGATCCCCTTTAAATATCTGTGAGGAACATTGCCCATCAGAACATCCCAGGATTCAGTCCTACCAGTAGGGAGTGAAAGACTATTGTAGGTATGTACAAGCGGCACTATTTATTAATTTTTTTAACAACAGTCTCATTAGTCTTTCATAGGCCCTGAAGGACAACACCAAAACCAAGATGATTTTGCCCAGAAAACCCTAGTACCACCCAAGGCTCTTTACAACGGAGAAAACCAGAGGTGAAGGTTACCAAAATGAGTAATGAGGAAACCGCAACAGATAACAGATCTTAATACTGAATTGACATGCTATGTTAACATAGATGTTATAACATTATATTTTAATATAGCTAATGTTTACATGTTGAATGGTCACCAAACACTAACACCCACTTGCTTCTAAAGCTGTTAAAGAAAATTAGAATAAAGCTAGTACATCAAAGTAGTTTGGCAGATCATTTGTTTCCCCCTGGTGGGAGTGAACCCCTATGATTTACTACACTGGATAAACTGAAGTAAATAAAGGATTTTAAGCCAAATTGGAACATCTCTTAAAGTACAAATGTCTATTAACCTACAATTTAGTACAATTGTGCATACCTTCACCGTTCTCTTCATCTTTTTCATCTCCGCTGCCTTTACCCTCATCATTTTCCAAATTCAGGTCATCAGGAAGGTCCAGAGATTCTGGTTCTTGCTGAGTATCTTGCTTACCATGGTAAGGATCCACCTCATTATCATCATATTCACGCTAATATATAGAACACACAAAAAATATGCCAATTGTCCACAAACATTAATAGGTAATTCAAAAGAAAAGCCAACTGACAGACAAAAAAGCTTAAAAAGACACTGAAATCAGGATAAAAATAAACAAAAAAAACTGCTAGCAGGCAAAGGTAGAAAAGCAACATATGTCTCCCTCCCACAAACTTTAATTCTTTAGCTATTTACCTTCCATAAAGCAAGCAATTTTTATCATTTACATTAGCTGCTGTGAACATGCAGTGTACAGGAACGGCTGAAGCCCAGTGTGCTGGGATGGGGCAAACTGCCCAGACATGTATAGGAGCTACATTATCCCTGATCATCCCAGTACCATAGGAGCATGGGGTCGGCAGCAGAAGTTTTCGCAAAGGTGACACCGGCCGGTGATCTCCCCCCCCCAACTTCAGTCTTTAAGTAGATACACACATACCTCATCAATTTGTTCATGAATTTTGTCCTTTTGGCCATCATCAGCCTGCTGGTCTTTTGCTTCATCCTTCATGTTCTGCTTCTTATCTTTATCTGAATTTCCAGCATCCTGGTTGTCATCCTTAGCAACCAGATCAGACTCTCCCTTAAAAAAACGAGGAAGGGTTGGAAATGTGTTATACAAAACTGTCTCTCTCAATCACAAAATAATGACTTCTGCACTGTTAACGGTTAAGCCCAGCTTCTCTAGCATATCAAAAGAAAAAAATGACATGTTTCAAGAAACCTATGTAGAATATGTTTATTTTCAAAATACTAAAAATATTGAAAAATGTGATAGTAAGTCAAAACCGGTAACATTTCCTAGTTCTTGGCATGCACATGAAACTAGCTTTTTCTTAAATAAAATGAATGGCAACATAGACCAATAAGAACACGATCTGTAAAAGGCATGTGCATGTTTATAAAATCTGGGTATATGTTTACCGTGTCCATTCCCTGTCCTTGTTCTTCTGTTTTATCCTCCTCATCATCATCGTCATCCTCTTCATCTTCATCTCCCCAAAGTCTTTCATCAAGCTTGTCTGCTTCCGCATCACCAAGCGCTCCCATTTGTTTATCCAGGTCTTCTTCCTCATTGTCAGATTGCTCATCCTCCTCTTCTGCGGAGCAATTACAATTATTAACAAAGCTGAGAAAATGAAGTTGCCTTAGTTACAGAACACATCTTCCACCATTTTAACCCGAGAGTGAAGTATTACTATCCATCCCTGTTTCAGTGAATGGGCAACAGGATATCCCCCCCCTTTATTTCTGAAGCCATGCTTACAGACATATTGTAAATAAATACTTGAACACTTTGGTATGATAAATGCCATCATATATTAAGTGTTTTCAATGTGATAGAGATCTATACTGTATATACACACACACACAGTTTACCCAACTAAAACAAACTCATCTCTGTTAAGGTGGCCATACAAAAGTCTTGCGAGGGTTGTAAAGTAATTTAAAAAACGTACGATCTGCCCATCTTGAACAGGCAGATCGTACTTGCGATCATCGCAAGCCCGCCCCCCTGAGGGGCGGGCTTCCGATGACTGCAATGGGTGGCGGGCTCCCGATGACTACAAACGGGCAGTGTGCGCACACCGGCCCGTTCAGCAGTTGTCGAACAAGCAGGCCACTAACTCGCCGAGAATTGTGCGATACTCGGCGGGTTTTCCAGCCTGCTTGTTCGACGGAAGACATGCAACCATACAGTAAACAGTCGCACGCCTTCCATACACTTTGCGATTCTCGTACGATCGCGGGATTTCCCACGATTCTCGTACGATAATCGTGCAGTGTATGGGCACCTTTAAGCATATTGTTTCTAACCTTGCTTTTCTTTGTCCCCCTCGTGCATTTTCCCATCAAAATCCTCAGACATCTCAATGGCATTATCTTCCTCTTTTATATCTGGCTTGGAATCTGGATCCTCCTCCACTTTCTCCTGGCCTTTTTGCAAGGTGTCTTCAACCTACAACAGCAGTGTTAATAGACATGAAAACAGATAAATGGTATATGAATGATGGATAAACTGAGTGATAAAATAAAAAGTAGTTTAGAATAAGAATTCTGTAAAAAATAATTCTGTAATTAGAGATAAGGCACTATTTTGGAACCAGTTGGTTCTTGGCTTAGCACTCACAGCCTTTAGTATGTAGATGTAATGTATATACATTTTTTTATTAGTGTCTGAACTGTAAAGGCTGGAGGGGAACATTTTTAATTATACACTAAATAGTTCAACATTTTCTATAGAACGTTGCATTTTAAGTAATTCTCATTCCAAGTAACTTAGAGGAAAAAAAGCAAGAACATGTACACAATGCAAGAATGCCCATACCTGATCTTCATTTTCAATTTTATCGCTCACGTCTTTCATGCCTTCTCCTTCTCCTATTCCACCTCCCTCATAATCATGGAACTCAGTTGCTCCCTCACCGGCTGCATCTTCAATCAAATCTTTGGGCAGACAGAATCCCTACAGAACAGGCACCAACATACACTGCTATTGTTAGAAAAACTACAGAGGGTCTTGCTACAGAATGGCAAAGCACATTAAAAACAATCTAATATAGTCTAAGCCAGTGTTATTGAACATGTTTCTGAATGCGACGCATGGAGGCTGCCATTGCTGATTTATATGTACACATTGTAAACTGAATTAATTTTTTTTTATATATATACATATAAATGCATAGGGAAGATGGAAATTATGGTTAAACAAATAGCAAACATGGCAAAATTGCTCCGGTCCTCAGGAACGGAAAAAAATTCGGAAGCTGTGTCACTAAGGGGTTAAAGCCTATGTCCAGTGATACTGTCATGTGACAGAATTGCTAGAAAATGGAGGACAAATACCTGCTTTGTATGCGACACTCTCTCACCAGCTTCACTCCCTCGTTGCAGAAAAAGCTGAAAGCAGGCGAGTGTTGTCACTTCCTGCTGTGCCCTCCAAAGTGATTCTGCCACTGGCAAGTTTTCGCCGGCGACAGGATCACCAACGCCACATTGTCCTTAAGCCTATTATACACTGTTCACATTTGGTGATCTTCACAGCAATAGGTCTATGTCAGTTTCAACCATTCCCCAGTTTCAAGTGACTAAATGACTGAAATTCACACCGAAGTGATCAAAAATGTCGTTCAACTGCCACATTAGTGTTCTCAAACAATTTCCAACACAGTTTGCACCATATGGTGGAAACAAATAAAATGTCATTGGGAGATTGGTGTGGTTCAAAGTAAACACAAAGCTCCAAAATTGCCAAATGTATGGGCGGGATTAGGATGGTCATAGAAGAGCGCATCCATAGCCAAGAATAAAGTGTAGGGGAGACCCCTGCCTATCCAGAGACAACGTGGCTGAGAAAAGAGGACCCACTGTACTTCTTGCTGAATGTCAGTGACAGCAGTGCATAAGAAGCACCATATGGTCTCTAGCCATTGCAGAGAAATGATCAGATCGACTCACAGGACAGTGATTTGAGAAACTAAAATCAGCAAAATAAGCACCACAGCCCGACTGCTTGATGTAAAAAAACAAACTCTAGAATCTCTTGTGATAACCAACCTTTTAAAATAGTTTAAATGAGCAGATCCTTTTATTATTAGCAGTACTCTTGTGGGACTAGTGCTCCCAAGGTAACAGATACCACCTATAAAAGGTGGTTTTGCACTGCCAAATACTATAGAGATGGTAGAGTTGGCGGTTTGACAAAGCTCAGGCATTAATGTCAGTTTAGGTGAGAACAATTCGTAATTTCTCTGAAAATAAGCAATGCACGTTTGCAAGCTCCTTCTCTCATTCTACTGCTTTATTTTGCATATTATTACCCCATCTGGACTATCTTCAAAGCACAAATGTGTTCATATGTAAATGTAAGACACTATTTTTTACACATACAAACACCAATGAGGTACTATAACTTTTTACACTTAAAATGTTCACACATTTTTCCTATGTATACATAAATTCAGTATATTCACCGAACACATAGCAAGGAAGCGTACATATACAGGTATATTTTTTAGACACATAATTACTTACCTTTTGGGCAAGTTCTGCAAATATCTGGGTCAAAACAGAAAGCAGTTTTCCTGTTTCCCTGTGTGTTGCCAAGGACACGGCAAGGTAAAACAGGAGCAGGTCAGAATAGGCAGACAGCATCGGAGAGAGTCTGACAAGCAAGCCACAGCATTGGTTAAAAAACTGAAAATTAAAAAGAGAAAAAGGCTAAGATTTTGTAATGAGCTTGTGACAAAGAATAATATAGAGCTAGCAGTGTATTATGTAAAATGTATAACTTTCCAAACGTGCCTAAAACAAAGACTTAATTAAAGCAGTCAGCACCAAAGAGAAAAAGAAAAAAGGGGGTAAGCTAAAGTAAACCTGTAAGCAGGTCAAGGTAAGGCAAGGAAGTTTTTCTGCATAGCTGGCATCGTTCAATGGGATCATACCTTAAAAGAGCCTCCATGTTTACCCCATAAGTCATGGAAGCCCCATGAAAATGTATTCATATACTATGCAAATACAGACATAAAAAGCTGATATTTATATAGGAATCTTAGTCCAGTAAACAGTATAAATATGCAGAAATCATTTGCTAATCCCAGAAGCTTTTTAAAAAAATAATGAATATATATTAACCACACAGCCCTGTTGCTGCGTTCACAGCTAGTTTATAGAGGACCATTCACTGGAATTAAAGTGCATCATTCAGTCAAGGTCAGTCTTTGCAAAATGCCTGTGGTTATTGGTTGTGTTGCCAATACATTTAAAATTTAGACTGTGCACAAAAAAACAGAAATTTCATGATCACTACTACTACTACATAAAAAGTGCACTTCCTAACCAAATGCTTGTCCTTGACGCAGTCTTCACCATAGGCTTTAAGCCTCTCAAGAAGCTCTGTGACCGCAGAGATTATAGCCTGTACATCCAAAGCTTTCAAATCACGGGAGAGGTCTTCAGTCAGCAGTCTTGTAATAAGGCCTTCTTGCAGGCTGTTCATTGGGTTCTCTTCAACTACAGGAAAAAAACAAAATTGTAGAAGTGAAGGAGGACAAGTAACATACTGAAGAACTGATATCTGTTAAGTGAGAATGAATTTTGGACAGACAAATGTAGAGCATCATTTGCATTTCACATATGAAGAATGCAATTACATTTCAAAGGGAACCTGAATGTTATCTGCCTGGCTGTCATGCTGACCTACAAAGTATAGAGAAGCATTTATTGCAAACTAGTTCCAATTGACGGTGAAACTACATATAAAATGTGATTTTGTAAAAATAAACTAAAAAAAAAACCACAAAATACTTGTATGTATGGACAATATTTCGTGTATAACAAGGCAGCTCTGAGGATATACTTTCCTTTTCAATAAACTAAATTAAACACGAATTAAACGCTATTCTTTACATGGATGTACTCCTTGCAATGAAAACTTCAAATGTATAACATATACATGTATAGCATGTAAAATGCCTTCCAGTCAAGGAAAACAGACCAGCAATATCCTAAACCAATGTGGCAGAGATTAAACTGTCCATGATCAACCACACACCATCAGCGCGCACCATCAACACACACGCGCGCACCATCAACACACGCGCGCGCGCACCATCAACACGCGCACCATCAACACGCGCGCGCGCACCATCAACACACGCGCGTACACACACGCGCGCCCACCATCAACACACACGCGCGCCCACCATCAACACACACGCGCGCCCACCATCAACACACACGCGCGCCCACCATCAACACACACGCGCGCCCACCATCAACACACACGCGCGCCCACCATCAACACACACGCGCGCCCACCATCAACACACACGCGCGCCCACCATCAACACACACGCGTGCGCCCACCATCAACACACACGCGTGCGCCCACCATACACACACACACGTGCGCACCATCAACACACACACACGTGCGCACCATCAACACACACACGCGCGCACACCATTAACACACACACGCGCGCACACCATTAACACACACACCCCAAAAGTTTTAGGCAGGTGTGGAGAAAAAGAACAAGGAGTCCTGGAAGTGATGGTTTGCTCCTCACAGAGCCCTGATCTTAACATCATGGATTCTGTCTGGGATAACATGGAGACAGAAGGATTTGAGGCAGCCTACATCCACAGAAGATCTGTGGTTAGTTCTCCAAAATGTTTGGAACAACCTCCCTGCCGGAAGCCTTTAAGCTTAGAACTGGATAAAAACATTTTGTGAACATATTAACAATGAAAAATAAAAACAGCAAATGAAGTACAGAAAGCATATTGTGCTTACCTTCATCCTCTTTTTTTACAGTTCCTTGCTCTTCCTTCCCAATAGTTTTCTCCCTAAGGTTCTGAATTGCATGTAGAATTTTTTTGATGGTTACTTCCACTTGGTCGGAAAAACCTTGGACGTATTTTTCATCAGACTCTTGGCTTCCTGCCATAGGCAAAATTCAAGTCAATTTCAGACAGCAATAGCAATCAAAACAGTTTTTTTTTTTAACCTTGCGTTGCATTCTTTTTCTTTGAGTCCACTGAGGGACACAGAAGTCTTAAACTTTTGGGCTATACCTCCGCCTAGAGGAGGACTGGCAACCAAAACAGGGTAAAGCCTCTCATATTACAAGCATATGTCAGTTTTGTAGCAAAGCAATACAAAGAGCATGATCATAAACACAGAGGGGTGGGACCTGTGTCCCTCAGTGGACTCCAAACTTTTCAAGTGGACTAGGAGCAAAGCTTGGGGGGACCTCAAAGATTAAGTCGAGGGAGTTAAGACCTATATCAAATAGTCAGATACTTTTCCACAGCTCTCTGTACCTAATGTACCTATTTTTCTGTTCTGCTTATGTCACCAGCCCATTTTGAAGAGTGATATTCCTTACAGCAATCACCTGTGCAGCTCAAGCCTTAAATACACACTTATTGAAGCACTATTGTGTTTGATCCTGTGCAGATTGTCATGTTTCCCTCACCTATATGCCACAACTGATTAGTGTGATGGAAAAGGCAGGAAAGCCAAACTTTATTGGAAAGGTGCAGTTATACTTAAATCTTTGCTTCCCATCTTCATGTATGGTTTCTCATTTAGAGTACTTGATTTACATTTTCTGTCTAAAATATATTGAACTTTTGAATGCCATCATCATCTTTAAAATGTCATCTTACTCTTAGCTCTTCCAATTGCCTGCAAACGGGATTTCCACAAGGAGAACTCCCTTCCTGCGATACGGATCTCTTCTCTGAGGTAGTGGATGCTCTTCAGAAAGCTCATGTGCTGTGCAGCCTCCTTCACTTCTGTCTCAGGCAGAAGAAACAGCAACTCAACATCCCTTAAGTCAACAGAGATCTCTTGCATGATGTCCAATGCTCCTGAACAAGCTTCAAAGTTTGTCCTGAATATACAAAAAAAAAAAAAGCCCACAAAAAAAGTGAAACTCTAAAAAGTACTTTTAATGAAACCTCCGTTTCATCAAATTTAATTTTATCCAATATCACTCTGAAATGCCTTTGGAAGACAAGCTTACCAAGAATAAAAAGGAGTCTCGCCAGGCGGCGGTCGGATTTTATCCACAGCTGTCTTTGAGGTTCTTATTTCTCTTAACATTTTCGTCACTGAATCATTCAGCTGCTGCCAGTCATTGTCCGATTTGCGCATAGTGCACAGCTTTGGCAGCCACTCAACAGTAGCAGGAGATGGAGTGTTCAATTCTGTTGCCTTAGAAATACCATCTTCACTATCACTGGCTTTTATGGGGCAACACTCTAGAAACCATGACAGCTCCTTCAGTACAACGCTGCATTGTGTAATAAGTTGCTGAAGTCTGTCAAACCATTGTTGCACCCCATCCTGAGGTGGGAAAGCAATCTTGTAATCATTAGATGCATCTAAGCGTAAATGGATCTCCTGAATGCTGCGTAACAATTTTCTGAAATATGAGGGGAAAAAAGTGATAAAACAGTGGAGTAAAAGATAAAAGCTACTTAAGCCAGCCATATTCTTAGGAATCTGGACAGTCAGCTGCTTAGACAATAGGGCTGTAAATGACTCAACAATGAGGATATTTGTTAACTATTCTCATTATCGATTAGTTGGTTGGGTCTCCTAGCTCTCTCCTCCACGAGGAGGGCACAGCAAGCAGTGGGCAGGTGCCATAACCAGCCTATTGGCTTCTGCAATTTGAAATGGCCAATAGCAGGCTGGCTATTGCATCCGCCCACTACCTGCTGTATTTACAGTCAGCTGCCGTCTGCGGAACCTTGCCAATGGCAAATGTCATTTCCTAGCTGAAGCTATTTTAACAATACATTTTAAAAATTATAAAAGGTGGGGTGGGGGGAAGTCATTTTTGCTTTTGGCCTCCCAAATTCTGCTGCAGGAGCTTGAAAGGCACCCCAAACGTGCCTCCCACCCAAAGTGTGATCACCCGCACTGGAATGCACGGTACCGCAATGCCATGCTTTCCAGTGCAGGCAATTGCAAATGCAGTTTTATTCTCAACCACTTGCTGACCGGGGTGTTTACACCCCCTTCCTGTCCAGGCCATTTTTCAGTATTCAGCGCTGCGGTACTTTGACATTTATTCCGTCATGCAACGATGTACTGAAATTAATTTTATACTATTTTTATTTTTTTCTATATACTGAAAAAAATTTGGGGAAAAAAAAAAAAAAACAGTTTTCCCTACGTTATGTTATAAAACAGTTATTACCCAAATTTTTGGCAAAATATAAAACACGGGGTCATGTTGGGTCAAAATACACCAAACATGTCAAGCTTTAAAAGTGCGTGCGTCCACGAACTGGCAAAAACTACCATACCCTAAATTGTCCATAGGCGACACTTTAAAAGCTTTTACCGCTCAACAGTTTAGTGTTATCAGTGATTGATGGCCCTAGAATTATTGCTCACTGCGACGATACGTAACATGTGCGGCGTAATGGATGCAATCGTCATTTCAGCACGTAGACGCACTCGACGCATGTTTGCATGTGTATGTGGGGGGCAGAGGACTTTAACATTTTTTTTTACATTGTTCTAATTACCTTTATATGCGCTTAATTTTTTTATATTTATTTTGTAACATTATTTTAAACATTTTTTTTCCACTTAACTTTATTGCTATCACATAGGGGACTAACAAGCCCCCTTTGTGATAGCCAATTTTTAGTGACAGGTCCTCTTTATGGAGACATCAGGGGTTAAGACCCGTCATCTAGGGACCCCCAGAGAAGCTGATGAAGCAAGCACCTGCTTCACCAACTTCTCTCCGGTTTCTGTACCGGAGAGTGACGGAGGAATGCAGGCAGTGATGTAATACACATCACTGCCTGCATTCCGAAGAGGAGATCAAACGGAGGTCGTGTACTGTGCTCCGTTTGACCTCAGGCCGCAGAGCTACTGTGCTGGTCCCGGGCTCACAGCGGAGCTCGGGATCGCCAGCAGCGGCTGCAACGGAGGGGGCGCACACCCGCACGCCTATTACAACTCAGACGCCCGAACGCTTGTATATAAAAACAGCCATCGCTGGCTGTTTACATTCCAGGCTGATTTGCCGCTCGTGCCCGCCACCTAGCGGCGGGATGGGACGTTTAAAAACGCCCACCCGCATTCATGAAGCCGCTGTCTGGCCGTTTCATTACAACGGCCGGACAGCAGGTGGTTAAGTAAACTTTATGTTTTTAACACTGCATTTGTGTATTTTAAATTAAGGATGGTATTTATTTGTATCCGATTAATCAAAAAAATAACCAGCCAACTAATTGATGAGAATAATTATTAGTTGCAGCCTATTCGACAATTTAACCTTCAGCTGAATTGTAAACAGTGAGTTGTCTGGCAATCCCTTATTACTAAATGGTGTACATGACAATGGTGCACAGGGTACTTTATTTCTGCTTTGTTAGGAGAAATATGCAGAATATTGGAAGAAACTTTATTAATGGCTGCAGAAAATGTATCCACTAGTTGCTAGGGATGCATCGATACAGATTTTTCCATATCGATATGTTTTTTCCGGTACTCGCGGATACAGAATACAGATACCGGAAGTCCCATTAAGGAAGCCAGGCTGCATGTAATGACCCACCACCTGGCTTCCTTATTAGCAGGGAAGCCGTCTCCATGCTCCCTCGTCACCAGGTGACAAGAAAGCCGGATTCTCGACCAATCGGGAAGCTGGGCAGCGCGTAACAACTCGCTGCCGCGCTTCTCGATACCGAAAGTTCGGGTATCGGGCTAGGCATCGGAGCATTTGGTCAAGTACGAGTACTCGCCCAAATGCTTGGTATCGGCACCAATACCGTTACTAAATATCTGTGCTTCCCTACTATAGTTGCACATATGGTCTTCTTAATGGTTTGAAAGGACTAAGAGGCTGAAAGGTACCTGAACATAATCCACTGCTCAGTAATATCTGTGAGAGAGCTTCTCTGCTTCACTAGAACCTTTAGCAGGTGACCAGAAAAACCCTTGGATCGCTCAATGTTCCCCAATCCTAATTCCTAAACAAAGCAAAAACAATTAGGTTAAATGTAAGTAAAGTTAGAGGGGAAAAAAATGACAAAGCATCGAATATAAAGATGGAATTAACAGAACTCTGATTACTACAGTTTTTTCAGATGTCTAAGAACACTTCCATGTGTTATGCAGTTATATGTACATTTTTTTCTTTTTTTTCTCCTGCTTACTAGGGATGCAACTAAATTTCAGCCAAAAATGGCACTTTGGGCAAAGTACCATAACGGCTGAAAACTCCATACATCCCCAGCTTCTCAACAAAAAAACTTAACAAAATAATTAATTTTACAAAATTTGACAAAGGCTAAAAAAAAGTCTTTCAGTTTCGGTCTGACAAATTCAATTTCGTTGCATCCCTACTGCTTACCTATTCATGGCATTTAATCTAAGTGAACAATCCCCGTTCTAGCAGAAAAGTAAGGAAGTGTTGTGAAAAACCAATCTGCTGAAACTGAACTCCGGGCGAAATTATTATAAACTACCCACTCACTGCAAGGATTAATGTAGTATTTAAAGGAGAATTATGAGGCGAGCCTCATAATCTGAGCCGATGTGTGACAATGAAACTGTCACAGGTCGGCAAGTGTGTGTGTGTGGTGTGTGGGTGTATGTATGTATGTATGTGTATGTGTGTGTATATATATATATATATATATATATTTTAGCACCTAGGCAAAAATGAGCAGTTAACCCTGGCAATGCGGGGGTAGCCCCACTGTTCGGGAAAATAGAAGTCTATTTGCCGGGAGTTCATCTTTAAAACTGCAGCTGCATCATATCCATACAGCCTTCTTTGATGAGGCATTACACTATAAAATAAAATCATATAGAACCTCTATGTCGCTGTCTACATATACATGTTAAATTGTCTGATGAGAATCAATCAGTTCACAAAACCAAGAGCTAAATATATTACCTTTGCAGGAGACACAAGTGCAGTTTCTAATCTTGAGATACGTGCCAGAGATCTGTAAAAATATTTTTGACATCCATCCCAAGTTGCTGTGATTTCACCTAGTAACCTAAGTTACACAAACAGAATATTAGCCTATTAGCGTCATGTATTTTGCCATCTAATTTATCATGCAAACACAAAAATGTAGCACTACGTGATTAACAGCAGTACATTAGGACATTTTGAACACACTTATATAGTCTCAATATATGCTGCAACACAAGGAGAAAAAAAAAAAATTGCTGCCAATTTTCTACATTAAACACTCATTTACACCACTGCATTACAGTTAATGTGTAGCACTGCACGATATGCGTTTGTGTGCTGCAGTGCCATTCATTTTAACTAGCACCACAACGTGTCTGGCAACACACCACCATGTATTCTAGTAGGCTGTGTTACCAAAATTGCAGCAGGTACTATTTTAGATGTCTGGAAGAAAGCACAAAAGAGAGGGGGCCCGGAAACGCGTCAACGCTGGCTATTGGCACATAGGAACTGTTCTGTCACAACTTCCACTTGGCTTATCCTGGTTCTTGGTCCTAAGGCTATCTTAAGGACTGTTTGTGAGTACTATTTTAACTGTTTTGCCTGTACTTGAATAAAACTCATCTGCACTAGGGAAGGCGCCCCTCTCTTTTGTGCTTTCTTCCAGACACCACAGTCTCCCTGGCTGAAGTGGGGCAGCATCCTGCAGCATGCTTTCATACCAAATCCTTCAGAGGATCGGTTGTCTCTGGCGCGCTTAGTTTGTTGTTCATTCGTTTTGCACTATTTTAGATGTGGTGCATTTGGCAGCCCATTTAAATGAATGTTAAATGCACCACAAAAGGGATCAAACTGGTGTTAATGGGGCCTTAAACTAAAAAATGTGATCACTCTGATCAGCCATCTTCAACTATGTTCTGCCTGCACTTATGGTGAATGAAGCAACCGCACAAGGCTTAACATATGTAGGCTTGCACATGCTTACATTTCAGGATGCTATGGGACAGTAATAACGTGGCATATTTTTTCTAACTTGTACTAGGTGGCGATATTACCCTACCATTCAGGATCTACGATCTGTTGCCTGTGTCCTTCAATGAACGGGAGAGAAAAAGTTTTGCCTCTTTTCAAGTAACTTAAATATTAACAAAAATGTATCTCATCTGTGTATCACGGTCAGCTGTAGAACCTCAAATCATACCTGAATTGATGTTGACACCGTCCTTCCTTCTGGAGGCTGGCTACTTTTGTTTCCTGTGGTCCCTGCGTGTTGTAGCCACTGCTCCAAGCTCCTTCCCGTGATGGACTACAATCTCAATACAAATGATAGTAAACTGAACATGAGCTTGTAGTCCATCATGAGAGAAAACATGGAGCGACGGCTACTTTACAACACACACAGGGACCAGGGGGGAACAAAAGTAACCACATTTGCGAAGGGAGAATTGTGTCACCACAAATGCAGAGATGATTCGAGAATCTATGGCCGAGTGATACACAAATAACATACATTTATGTTAATAGTTAAGCTACTTAAATGCATTATTAAGACTTAACTGCTGAGTTTAGTGTCACTGTACAAAAAAAAAAAAAAAAGATATATATTTTTTTACAACTAAATGTAACTGTATCAAGTAAAGCAGGACATAAAACATCATACTCAGCATTGGTCTCCACTGTGTTGTTTGAGATCGTCAAAGCATTGTTCACATCCAATGGCTGCAGGCAAAGTATATCCTGATTGTTCTTAGTGCGTATCCAAGTAAGCCCTTTTCGGTATGACAAGCCTACAGTTTATGAACAAAATGACAATATATGACACATGAAAACAATAAACAACAAGAAAACAAAAAAATAAATATTAACCAGATATAACAAACAGCTGGCTCTTTTGTATTCAATTATTTTGCTGCAGTAAATATTAATGCCAGGAATCTAGAGATGTTCTTAGGTACATGTTTAACTAATTTTAACACTCCTGTAAACTCCGCTCCCCACAAATATTTGTTAAATACTGACATTTATAGGCACATCAATGTATTTAAGCGAACAAATCCCACCAGATGTCTGCAGATGTACTTAAAACTTAGCACTGGGTTAACATTGTATGATAAAAGGAACTCTTTGAATAGAACCCTGGAGAAAATCTGTGGTGCAAAATATGAAAATCATAAAGAAATCTATGATAGAAACCCATAAATATAAAGTTCATAAACATTAGCTCTGAAGTCCCACAGGAGTACAACTCACTGAATGCAGCAATTGAATTAAAAAAACAAAATCTGTGCCGCAGCAGTAGACAATTCATATGAGCAGGAGGATGTAAAAGTGCTGTAGCCCTGCCCCACTCATTTAATCACAGTCGGACTTTCTCAGAAGCTGTGCTTATCGTGCATTGGGGTGGGCACTCCCACACATGGAGTTAGCAGTGTGGTCACAGCCTTTGAGAGATTGAGCTGATATACCTTAACGCTAGGCGAGCATTTAAAGTCCATTTCCACCTTTTTATTGTGGTAATGTAAAGGTGCAGTGATAATGTATATGTGTGCACATTTTCATGACTCACAAGCTATTATGCCTGAATCCTAGAAATTCAAAATTTTCTACACAGGAAATTCAGACTGACACCAGGGCCTGATTGTAAAGCTGCCCCCTCCGTGATTCTTGCTCATTTGTAAAATACACACATTGCCTGCAAAACACAGGCGTTTCCATGAGGATATGAATTGGAAAGCTAACAAAAAACACAAGTTTCTGTGTTCATATACAGCCACTGCATATTACTGCTTCATGTATACTCGGTGTACAATGGTGGCATATGCTCTTTTAAAAAAAATACCACAGCAAAAGGTGAAAATGGCCTTTAAAGGAGAACTATGGGGTTAGGGCTTTTACCCATAGTTCTCCTAACGGTAACGGGAGGACACAAACTAGCGTCCTCCCATCACCCAAAGCTCAGTATACACCGAGCTACAGCTCGCGGTATACTGAGACGCCGCAGCTGAAACGTATGCTGCGTGAGTGACAGTTGGTTCCTGTAACAGTTTTAAGTCTACAAGTCTCATATAAAAGCTTGCCAAGAGCTACTTATTAGTTTAGGAAGAAGTGGGGGAAGAGAGTGCGTTTGTGGTGGAGAAGTTTACACTCTTCTCTGTGGTGGAGCACCATTTTGGAATGGACAATTTATAAGCTCATATAAACTGCCTACTGCTATTGTTGCAAAGGATTTGCACTTTGAATTGCTGCATTGAGCAAGTTGTACTCCTCTGGAAATTTTATAGTCAGGGATTTCTATTCTAATGATACTGAAAAAAAAAAAAAAAGTCTCTCACTTCATGGCTTACTTAAAATCACTAAGACGGAAAAACAAGGTAATGTGCACTCATCTAGAATTTGATCAATTCAGAGAATTGGCTTACCACTTTTGGCGAGCATTTTGAAAAGTTCAGAGAGTGCCCTCTGCTTCTGCAATAGGATGTTCTTGGCTTCTGACTTCTGCTTCTCCTTCTCAGCTGTTTGGTTTACAGTAAGATTCTGAAGCTCTTTTACAGACTCAGCGATACCTTCTGCAATTAAGTCAGAAAACCCATTAGACAAGGTTGAATAAACAAATTATGGCTTAACATGGTGGTGATTTTTAGTACACAGCAACGTGCTTGAACTATCAGAGGAAAAAAAAAAAAAAGCAAAAAGACAATGTGCATGCCTGTAAATTCATTGAGGTTTTCAAATAATGCTGGCATTTGGCTCTTCTTTATAAATGTAGTGCACAGTTTCCCCATCTTCTTTGTTAATTTAGGCAGGCGATGCTGAAGAGACTCTGACGAATAAATGTTCTCTCCACAGTTTAGCTGTGAAAACAAATGTGCAAATGACTGCTTATTAATAGGCAAGTTTAAACAGGACATACCATTCTACCTTAAAACCTATAATGAAAATTACCAAACCAAAATACCACGTATGCCGTCAAAACCACTTATTTGAGCTCAACACTAAAACACATGGGATACAGTTATCTGTATTATGGTGATTGTGTATTAAATAGGAGTCAGCTGCATGTTAGTGAGAGTAAAATAGGTTTTTTGCACTTGCCGTAAAGCCCTTTTCTTGAAGTATGTAACGTGACACAAAGTCTTGAACCTTCGAGGTATAGGGACCCTTACCTGATATGGAAGCCTGCCACACAAATAGAGGGAAGACACTGAGAACCAACCTGATGATCAAGTTGGAAAAAGAACCTGAATCAAGTAAGAATCTGATTACCTAAAATCCACCAAACAGGTGGAACAACCACAAATTCCAGCATAAGGCAGTGAAGACCCACAAACTTGATGTGGTCAGCAAAAAGGGACAATCCCTGGAAGGAACAGATCCCATTAATGAATCTAGGACAATATAGGTGCAGGTAAAAATAAGCAGCTGGTCCAATGGGAAGGTGCACAGCCTTTACACTCCTGATCCCATGTCTGAACCATGTGACCTGCCTAAAGAAGGATTTCTTGATGAGGAAGGAACCTCCTTGTTCTTAAAGGGCAGACAGTGGCCAATGGGGATAAAGCAGTGAAGCCCCACAGAAACCAGATCTCAAGGAGGGATCTTGCAGGTGTTAAGCCAGTCAGAGAGATGAGGACTGCAAGGGTTCATAAAGCTGACTGTACAGGAGTTCAACTAAGCACTTCATAATGGCACTAGACTGAAAAGTGGATACAATGCTCCAAGAAGAGCCAGGAATGCTTGAGCAACACCGAGGATCCAGGTAGAGAAGTCAGTTCTGGTTGAGCTAGTAAGCCAGGGGGTCCCCTCTGGAGAGGAGGGACGCTGAGGGGTACAACATGGACTATTATGGGCTTCTCATATCCTAAGGACAGGTGATTTCCCTGGGGAAGAGAGAGTGGTGTTCTAGATAAAGCATAGCACCAGAAACTGAAATGCCATATGGAGGCAGGTTTCCTCTCCTGCCTCTCGTGGAATCCTTGATGGAATCAGATCAGGCCCAGGAACCTTCAGGGCTCTCCCAGTCCATGTAGGGGAATACCTGGAATAGCAGGTGTAATGGTAAGATCTTTGCTGTAGGAGATCTGAAAGACTCAAGACAGGAGACAACAGACTGAGCCTCCAATGGCAAAAATGACCTCTTGCATTTCCAAGGTGAAAGCAGAAGGCTGTGCTTTGACAAACCAGTGGCCCGGCCTGTACTAAGGCTTTGGGAAGTTCAGATACATAGGATGGTGCCAGACCACACTTACAGCCTCTAAAACGAAATGCCTGCCCCATAATAATCATCTGACAATAGGAAAGCTGCAGAACAATGCACTAAATCAAATTTCAGTTCCTAAAAATTACTTTTGTATCAAGGAATTTAGGCAAATTATATATAATTACACTTGCTTGTCCTAATCTAGAGACCTTTTAAAATATTGTGTCTTTCTTTAAAAGAATGAATTGGTAGAAAGTTAAAGGGGTAGAGGATTAGGTTCTGCTTTTTCTAAATCAACAGCTTTACAAAGTTATAAAAAAAAGTTGAGCTAAACTGACCAGCAAATTAAGTAGTATTTTTCCATTTAATGCATAAATAGATTTTCATTTAGCAATAGGCACAACCATTAGCACATTAGCCTTGTTTGTCTAGGTAATATACAATTTATTTAATGTCCTTACAGGTGCACTGCTTGCTCCAGTTAAAGTAGCCTTCAGAATGGAAATTAACCGTGGTTGTAGTACAGAGCTTCCTTTGATCTTTAAACCTGCGGAGCTGTCATTGAAATCCATTTGTTGCTCTTGAACACTTTCAATTAGTGCAGGACAAGATGGTTCACACAGAGCTGCTTCAAACTTCTTTGTAAATTTAAAGAGTGTTCTAAAAGTAATGTAAAAAAAAAAGTATAAATTGCAAAATACAGCATTAAGAACAATATGTTGCTAGGCACCAAGAACAAATATTTACAACTAAACCTATAAACGTATTCACTTAATCAGATTCAGAAAGGGTTTTATGCTTCAAATATCCAGCTCCAATCTTTTAAAGCGGACCTTTCCTCCCCTCCACCCACATCTCTTTAGCATGTTTCTTGCCTTCTGCAAGTTGTTTTATTATATTCAGTGGAGCTCCTAGAGTGACAATGTTACCTCCTGTGTGAGACTGTATAGAAGTGTTGTCACCTCAGAATGAGCACAGCTTTCAGTATCTCCACAGCTACATGACTGCCCATTTTGGAGGGAGAGCCTGTAAGCTGTGTGAGCACGGCTCAAAAAAGTTAAATAGAAAAGTTTGCAAAAACTTTGGAAGGTTGAAAATGGGATTCCACATTCTAAAAATACATTTGCTGAACTAAACAAATGCTCAGCATTGCTTACTTTGCTGTTAGGCAATAACACAAATTATGTGGGAAAACCACTTTCCTAAACTCAAAAAAAGCTTTTGGTGACTATGCAGCTGAACTTACTCACCGATGCGTCTTTTCCACAGACTGCTTCACAGACCAGAAGCTGACATCGTTCCACTTGGATATTTTCACAAAGTCCTTAGGATACAACATATATTTATTACATAAAATATTACAATATAAACATTTTAGTTGCTTAAAATATACAGCATATAGGTCACAAGTAAATTAATCAACAGTGAACTGAAGAAAGAAACAATACTGCACACAGGAGATGGACATTTAAAGTTCAGCTCCATAGGAGAAATTTACAGTCATTGAGTCAGGAGATTTTTGCAATGGGAATACATGCAGCAACAAACAATGATTTTCCAAAGGGTTAGAAACTGTCAGGTTATCACTGTCAGCATTATGTTAGGGGAAATTGTCCTCAAGGGGGTATAACCTCAGTGCAGACCTAGACAGATTTCCCCAGAATCACTTCAGGCAGGAGAGGGGGAACGTTCTTCTGCGACCTTGCTTGGTGCAGCTTCACAGTAAGGACTTATTTGCACGGTCACAGAGGGCGGAACAGCGTGCAGAAAGCCCTATTTATGCACCCAAGAGTTGCAGGTGTTCCACACAGCTGCTAAAAATCAACAGGCTGACACACTGCAGCTGTATGGCTTTTCATACATCCAAGCATATAGCTGGGTACAGAGGCTGACAAACGGCCCTAGATGCTTTCTGTGTCCAGGGCTGTGCATCTGTCCTGTATGCATGTTCAGATGTGTGGGAAGATCTATACAACTGCTGTGTGTCATCATGTAGATTTTTTTTTAACAGGCTTTATGGAACACCTGCGACTCCTGACGCATAGAAAAGGGCTTTCTACATGCTGTACGGGCCCCAGCTGTCTGCTTCCATATTAAAAAGCGCCAAATATAAAAGTAGGGTATACACTGGTAGATTTTCAAACAAATGTTTATACAAAATCTCATCGGACTTTCAATAATGCCATCAGACACTTGACAAATCTCATTTGAAATTTTGTTTGAATTTAGCATTCAATCTTGGAATAAATGGAGTTTCCTAAAATAAAACCACATTCACTGTAAGAATTTCATTTGATCGAGATTTTCCAACATGCTCTGTCCATTTTCTTTGTCACTGTGATCGAAACTGATCGATTTCACAACTATTAGAAAGTCGAACAAACGTTGTCTGTATAAAATTTTAACCATGTAGATTACCCTACTGAAACAAAAAAAAAAGACAAAAAAAAATCAATCATGCATAATATGATACAAAAAACAGTCTCCTAAGCTTAGGCTCCAGTCTACAGAGAGCTCATTGTGCGGGATTAATCGGTTCGTATAACTGGAAGGAGTTGTTTTAAGCAACAACATGAGGAACCAGACACATTTTCAACAACTCCAAACATCTTTCAACGGATATGGTATGAACTACACCAATTGACTGAAGCAGTCTGGGGATACTGTGCCACAGGTAACTGTGTGGCTAATCTTACCATCTTCTTGGACTCTAAACTTAAGCATACACCTAAAGAGTAGGTAAAACTACCAGGATATCTTATCCTACCATAATTTTACTTGTATGCCTACGTATTTTGGGTGAAACCTACAGTATTAGAAAAAAGAAATCCCTTTACATAATGTTTCAGGGTCAGTGAGGATACACTTATTCCAGCAACTATTTTGTTCTGGGGAAAAGTGAATGGGTCCAGGAGGACACAACAAAGTGAAGATGCATGAACAAGATAAAAAAATGTGTATTACATATAAATGATAAATAGTCAGCATAGTAAACATTATACAACCGGCCCTTTGAGGGTAACCATACTGCTGATGCGGCCCCCGATGAATTTGAGTTTGCCACCCCTGCCCTACAGACAGAAAATGTTATGCATTGGATGTTGATGGTGAACCTGCTTACAGAATGCTCTGACTCCTGGGCTTTACTTTACCTTCCAGATTTAAATCACCTGACAGTTTAACTTGACAAGAGTATGCTAAAAGGTGACAATACACCTTACGATTATTGGACAAAACTTTTCGTCTGATGATCGAAATGTCGTACGCTTTTCGCAAGGTATTATTGCAAGGTTCAATCAGCGGTAGTTAAAAAAAAAACACCTGGACGACTTGCGGTAATTGACCGCAATTATTTTCGTTTGCGCAGTGTTAATCGTACGACTTTTGGACGGACGGAAACGCCACCAACCATGCGAACATCGTGCGATCGACCAAAGTTTTCAAACATGCTAGACCGTCAAAAGTCGTACGATTATACAGTACTATCGGTCGGGCACTCTATTCACACGTTACGATTGTCGTACGAAAAGACAATCGCATACGATTATCGTACGATAATCGTAAGGTGTATGGGCACCTTAAGAGTAGACTAAGTTAAAAAAACAAAACCCAAAACCTCTATTTTGCAAACTGCTGCTTGTATATACTATAATCAACTGATATCTTACCTTTAGCTCTTTTTCCACTGGATTACGTAATTCAGTAATCCTTGCTTGGATAGATGGCAAAAATTGTTTATAGTAATGGTAGAGATTCCTAA